TATGTTTTTCGTGTCGTAATAACAGCACAAACACTCGCCTTCGTTGAACATTGTCTGTTGAGGACCACAGCTGGTGGCCGGTGTCAGCGGCACCTGTCGTCGGCACGTATCGGCCGCTGATATTAGGGTCGTACACAAGAGGACTGTAAGTGTTTTCAACATTTTGAGACAAGCAGGCTTGTACAGTACCAAGTGAAAGTGAAAATTATATGAAAAGTTTTAACGTTTTATACCCTACCATAATGCTGATAAAGTTATTGCAAACAAATTTTGAAATTTAATATGTTGGTTTTCATTGCGTGATATGTGATAACTTTTAAATGTCATTGATAATCAGCGAGATTGACTCAGCTTAATTGGACATATGGTAAGCACTTGATAATTTAACAATTTAAGTAGACACTTACAAAACTTGATGCGGTTATGTTGCAATATAAATGTGATTAAAATATTGTACTAATCTGTGCAAATGAACAATGTGAATTAATATGGATAAAATGATTTTTATACTTGTTAACGTGTTGTAATTGTAATACATAATAGTTGTAGCATTATAAATAGAAATTATATCATTAATTTCACTTATTTCACTATATGAAAAATAAATAAATTACAATAGAAATTTAATTTCTATATTTTAACAAATTTGCAATAAACCACACCTTGGTTATATTTAATGAACATCAGATAAAGTTGCACTAAGTAGAATATAATATTTTTGAACAGTTTTATTAATTTTTATATGATAAAAAGTACAATTTCATAAGCATTAGAAAATAATATAGTCAATATCTAATATGACCTTCCTAATTCTATATAATTGATATAATGTATTTCTTAGCAGATACCTTACACATTTAGTATGTAATAGTTTGTTTATAGCAATTCTACCCGGATATAATATTTACAAAATAGTATATAAAAATGTTCAAATTTACTCCAGAAATTATAGACTTGTACAAAACGTGTGGATTATATATCCGAAGGATTTATTTTGTAAAAAAATTATAACAATACAGAAACAATTTATTTTGAAACACTTGCAATAAATTTATAAATATTATGATCATTAAACGGTCCAGGTAATTTAAACATAATAATAGCCAAACATTTCTGGTCACCCGAAGTTCGCGTAACTCCAGTTTTTATTTTTTTCCCGGACATT